GTTTTTTTCTTATATGTATCAATTTCATGTATTCATAACTATCTTATAATTGCTTGACAAAATAAGTATATAAATAAATAAATTTAGGGAAGCTTTTCACAAGCAAAGAAGCTTTTTGTATTTTTATACAGGTAATCCTTGACTTGCAACAGTTCATTTAGTGACCATTCAAAGTTACAATGGCACTGAAAAAGTGACTTATGACTGTTTTTCACACATACGACCATTTGCAGCATCCCCATGGTCACAAGTGGCTGGGCAAGGCTAAGCACTCCTCAAAGTGAGTGAGATCAAGTTGGCCACTCCCACTCAGTCACATGACCACCCAGCCATGACCACCCAGCCAGTCATTAGGACAGAGAACCAATTGTTAAAAAATTTGAAGCCACCACTGGCTCACATTAAGTTAATGATATACTTTATTGGAGCTGTAAACATTTTCCATTTCCATTGAAACATTCATAAAACAACACCTTTCTTCAGGTTCTGCTTATCAGAAATAGCTGTTTATTAAGGGTCCAATATGACAGATAATGTTTCAATATTATACGGTATGAAGCAAGGAGTGGGGCTGTTTGATATGTTTGGAAGTATGATAACTTGTTGAAGGCAGTGTCACAACATGGATGTCACAAACATACAGAGGCTGCACTATCCCCCTTAGTAAGTAAAGGCTAAGCCACTGGATGTTGTCTTTCTCTTTCCATCTTGCATATCTCCTTTTTTCTACAACCGAGCATTGTGTGCTTGGTTGTGTGTCTGTGAAAGAAAAGACTAGATAGAGAAAGTCTTGATTGGTGTTTCTCAAACTTGGCACCTTTAAGATAAATGATAAATATAAACTCTGGGGACTTCAGGGCCCAAATTTGAGAAACACTGGTATAGAAGGAGACAATAATGGACAAACTGAAGCTCCACATACACACTAAAATAGTTGGGACTTCGTTCAAACAGTTGCTTTACCATCTTGATTATTTGACTGTCTTTCCAGCCACCTGTCTCTGCTGCTTCTCTTATTATTGCTCCCAATAGCCTAAACTTCAAAATTGATTACCCTTGTCTGTTATCACAGTACTATGATCTCTTGAGGTGTTTCTTTTTCAGATTTTAAAAATAGATAGAAATATACTTTGCTGTTACTAAATATGTTTTCGGGAAACTTCCAAGGTATAGTCATGAAACTAGTCATTTTTCTGCATGGGTGCTCAAGTATTTTCTGCTTCACCTTTATATTATGCTAAACTGCCAGTTATGGTTGGTTTACTGGATTGTTTAATTTAGGTTTTTATTTCACCTCCACTTGGTATCCTAGTATAAAAATATTATTATCTATATGATATCACCACTGTGTCATTTATAAATCTACTACTTATCTGATTTCATAGGCAATCAAAAGGACTTCATAAATCACCAAGGAATGTAATTAAGCTGCATAACTGCACATATGCATTTACAGATATTTAAGCGAACATGACCAATTAGGCAATGGATTATTTTCAGAGAACCATATTAAAATGTATAATTTCATTTGACAAAATACTGATAAAAACCTTTTAAAACACAAACTTTAATGAAATTTAATGCACAACATTTTATATATTAAAATTTATAACTGAGAAATCATACAGGTCTTTATGTAGGAAATGACATTTATTACACAAATTCTAGATTTCTCTGGCTCACCAACTTATAGATTGAAGAAACAATGGAAACAGGTTGTTAAGAAAGAGGATGCTCTTTTACAGATCATTCTCAAAGAGGAAATGAATCACCAAAATTAAGACAAAAGAGGCACAGTATTTGCATACAATCATTTAAATGTGTAGTTGCAAATTTAGAATTAATTACCATAGTTTAAAAATATAGCTCACCATATTGTGGCCGCCTGGGATGAAGGTGTCTATGTATAGGTTTTATCCCCTTGGAATTGGTGGATAGATTCCAAGTTTCTTATCTCAAGTTTTATGGTTTCTTTTGTACCCACACATGAATTGAACTTCCTTTCAAATTTTGGTTTAACTTATGGAAGGAAAACACTTGGCCATCTATTGGGCAAAAATACATAAACTTCCTGGAAAAACAACAGATAAGATTTAGTTAAATACTGTTCCAGAAGGTCAAACAATCCATCACTGTAGTTAAAGAGATGGTTGTTAGTGATTGAAAACAAATAAAATTCCACTCACAACTGAAAAAGATTTTTAAAAAGCTTATTACTATGAATATACCTTTCATAATTATAAAAATATTGGATTTGGAGGATACATTTTTAATCTAGTGATTTCATTGGTTATTTTCTCTTATTTATAAGTTTTATAAATTACTTGTTTTGTAAGTAAGAAATAAAAGTTGAATATTAATATCTTTGCAGGTAAGTTTCTTGAAAGCATCCAACAAACAGCTATAGAACATATTATGAAATTGTTGGTGTTTTGCTGTGGGCTCTTACAAACTTTTAGTTCTTACACTTGAGGATATCTGGCCTAAAACCAATGAACAAAGCTAAAGGACTGGGGAAAATCAGAAAGCCCCTTAATTTTGGAGAACCACAATTCCCAGACATGCTAACTATCATGACCAATGATCTGTGATGCTGTATGTTATAGCTCAGCAGCATCTGGAAAGCCAGATATTTCAGCCTTCCTCAGAATACAGGTTAACTTACAACCATTCATTTAGCAGCCATTCAAAGTTACAGTAGTACTGAAAAAGTGACTAATGATCAGTCCTTGCATTCAAGACTGTCACAGCATCCCCCTGGTCATTTGAACAAAGTTTGGATGCTTGGTAACTGGCATGTATTTACGACGGTTGCAGTGTTCTGGAGTCATGTGATCAACATTTCCAACCTTCCCAACCAGCTCCTGATAGTCAGTTAGGGAAAGCTAGATTCACTGAACAACTCCAGTGATTTGCATAGCAACTGTGGCAAAAAAAGAAAAAAGGTTATAAAATTGGGCATGACTCACTTAACAACCACTTTTCTTCATGACTGAAATTCTGGTCCCAATTATGATCATGTGTGTGAGGTTTTTTTTTCCCCCAAATTTTATTAAATACATTATTTAAAAACATTGAACATTGTGAAAAAACAATTGGCATATCTTTTTGTCTTACATCTTATAATATATAGTATATATTTTGTATACATTTATACATATTGAATCTTTATACATTTAATTTTCCTTTACTAAATCATCCACCATTCTCAATTTTAGTTTAATCACATGGTCTCAGATATCCTTTCTACAAATTCTATTTCTCTTTTTCATTTTGAGTCCTGCCTTTCTGTTCCCACCAATAATAAAATTTGTTCCAAATCATATAATATTCTGAGTCATCCTTGTATTTCATTTCTAGAGTCATTCTGTCCATTTCAGAGCATGTCAAAATCTTATTTATCACTTCTTCACTGGGTGTTTCTCTAACCTTCTATTTCTGGGCAAACCCCATTCTTGCTGCTGTGATAACATGGATTATTAAATAAGTCTTTTCTTTGCTATGTTTCTTTGACTTAATTCCTAATTTTAAAAAAATCTGGTTTATAGTCTATTTTTAGTCCCATCATTTCCTCTAGCCACATCCAAATCCTATACCAAAACTCCTGTGCTTTTTTACAGGACCACCATGTATGGTAATATGTGCCCCATTCTTGCATGTACTTCCAGAAATTTGGTGACTGATTTTTGTACATTTTACCCAGTATTTTTTCTTTTTTTTTTATAACAAAATTTTTATTTTTACAGCAAACATACAAACAAAACATAAAAACCTCTCAATTATATACATACAGTGTGTCACTTGGTTGCAATCTTTTGTACTATCCTTTTTTTAACCATTACTCACAAGTTATATACATTCTCACCTTATCAATCTAGCTTGTGTATTATATAATGTCAATTATTAAACATTCATTTGACTAAACTATTTTTCCATCATTTTATACGAAATATTCTAAATTTCATTATGATTTAATCTTACACATTCATCCAATGGTTATATATTTTATATTGTATTCTATATTAATCTATTAACTTTTATTGTAAGGCTTACTGTTATGTCTGTGGAACTGGTTGGGGTCCCCAACCAGGTCCGCTGTTTGAGCGGGAGCACCAGCAGCTCCCATTGGTTGGCTCCATTTGACAGTCGGCTATATAAGCCGGCTGTCGAGCAGAGCCAGCCGTTGTCACCCGCTGGTCTGCAAGTTAGCAAGCAGACGCGACAACCCTTTATTCTTTGCAATAAAGCCTGTTAGTTGTACGCTCTGGTCTCATGCCTCTTCCTTACCATCGCTCTACAACACTGGTGACGAGGATGGGATGGTCGAAGGCTAACCAGACGCGTTTATTCAAAGAGCTGTAAGTCACGGAGAGTGAAGCCATGGGCGCTGTAGCCGCAGCCGCCCCACGCTCGCAAAGAGCGCGAAATTCAAACTGATACTGTTTGAGCTGATTCGCTGAAATGAGCCACAGGCGTCGCAGCCGAGGCCGCCCACGCTCACCAAGAGCGCGATTTTCAAAAAGAGCTACGCAGCCCAGAGAGACAGCCGCAGCCGCATTCTTTTAAGAGCGCAAATCCAAATAGCGATTGAAGAAGACGAACCTGTTCTTTTCTCCACAATGAGTACTAATTCAGCATTCCCTCCATTCAAACCAAACGAGGAAACATGGGACTCCTACAAAAATCGATTCAGCCATTTTCTTGACGCCATCGGTTTAGCCGATGCTGCGGAGCATAGGAAGAAGTCCTATTTCCTGAGTTACTGCGGAGCCGCCGTCTTCGACACCGCTACAGCGTTAGTCGCACCCCGCGCCATCAGAAGCGTCCCATGGGACAAGCTACAGGAAATACTTTCAAATCACTATTCGCCCAAACTGTCCCAAATAGCCAGAAGGTATGCCTTCAGGGTCAGGAAACAGGCAGAGGGGGAGTCGATCAACGAATACATGGCCGCCCTGAGAACAGCCGCTTTACAGTGCGGATTCAAAGAATATTTGGAAGACATGCTGTTGGACCAGATCGTCTGTGGGGTGAGAGACCTAAGACTCCAGAGGCGTTTACTGGCAAAAAAGGACTTGACTCTAGCCTTAGCCATGGAGGAAGCCCTGGCTGCTGAGCTCTCGGCCCAGTCAGCAGCTGAAATTCAGGGCACTCAATCTAAACCCAGCACGCCAACTGTCCATTCTGAAGAAGTAATCAGCGAAGATGACCCCACAGACGCATCTGACATTAACCGCCTTAAACATCAGAAGCCTTCACAGGTAGGAGCGGGGCAAAGAAACAGCTTCACCCCCAAACAACCTCCCATGTGCCTAACCTGTGGAGGCTCCCACCCTAGGGCATCCTGCAGGTTCAGAAACGCCATCTGCCTGAACTGCCAAAAGAAGGGTCACATCGCTAGAGTCTGCCAAGCAGGGCGATCTTTACCTCAAAGGCCTCCACCACCTCCTAACTCCCAAAGGCAAGTGGAGGACTGCTATACCTGCTACCACGCTAACCATACTTCCCAAACCCCTGATAAAATTAAAATTTCTGTTTTCCTAGAAGGTAAACCCTGCAGGATGGAGGTGGACACGGGATCCGCGCTCTCAATCATTTCCTGGGATACCCTGAAGAGGATCCAGCCCAGACTGTCAAGGAAACAGCTACAAAGATGCCACTTGACGCTGCAGGACTACCAGGGCAAGAACATTCCTGTCCTCGGGAAAGGCAAGTTCCTTGTTCAATTCCAAGCCTTTAAGGGCCATCTGCCTCTAGTGGTTGTTAATGGTACCCTCCCTAGTCTATTGGGACTTGATTGGTTTCCTTCTCTCGGCCTTAGTGTAACCGGGATCCATGCTGTCTCAACTTCTGATGTAGATACACTATTTTCTGATTTTTCCGATGTATTTAGCAATGAGCTGGGTTGCTATTCGGGCACCCCCATATCATTTTCAGTAGACCCCCAGGCAACCCCTCTTCGTTTAAAACCACGTAGGGTACCTTTTGCCATCCGTCCCAAATTGGACGCAGAACTAGACAAACTACTTAAGCAAGGGGTGCTAGAACCCACTGATTTCGCTAAATGGGAGACCCCCATAGTCACCCCACTTAAGAAAGATGGCAGTTTGAGAATCTGTGCGGATTACAAAACCACGCTCAACCGCTATCTGCAGGTCAGCGCATACCCTGTCCCCGTTATTCAGCATCTATTACACACTTTCGAACCCGGCACCATTTTCGCCAAGTTAGACATGTCACAGGCATACCAACAGTTCCCTGTCGATGAGCAGACAGCGGAATTACAAACCATAATCATGCACAGGGGGGCATTCAAGTGTAGGTGCCTCCAATTCGGGGTCAGCGTGGCCCCAGGCATTTTCCAGTCACTCATGGAGAGGATTCTCCAGGGTCTCCCAGGAGTGGTCCCCTACTTCGATGACATCTTAGTCTCAGCCACGAACCGACCCCAGCTCATTCAGAGAGTCAGGACAGTGCTGGAGAGGTTTAGACAGCATGGCCTTAAACTTAAGAGGGAGAAGTGTGCCATCGCCACTAGGCAGGTGGACTTTCTGGGTTATAGAATAGACGCCTCTGGCATCCACCCCGTTGAGTCCAAGGTGAAGGCCATCCATGAGGCACCCACACCCACCAACAAGACTGAACTTCAAGCTTTCCTGGGACTCCTGAACTTTTACGCCTCATTCCTCCCGCACAAAGCATCGGTCACTGAACCATTACATAGGCTACTAGATAAAGGCTCGCCCTGGCACTGGGGACCCAAGGAAAACCATGCTTTCAAGTCAGTCAAATCCTTACTCACATCAGAAGCGGTTCTAGTTCAATTCGATCAACGTCTTCCCCTGGTCCTGGCTGCTGACGCATCCCCTTTTGGCATTGGGGCTGTCCTGAGCCACAGACTCCCCAATGGTTCCGAGGCACCAATTGCTTTCTTTTCTAGGACCCTTTCTTCAACTGAGAGGAACTACAGCCAAATCGATAAAGAGGCCTTGGCTGCAGTGGCTGCAGTTAAGAAGTTCCACGAATTCTTGTTTGGCCACCACTTTGAGTTAGTGACTGACCACAAACCTCTTTTAGGACTTCTGTCTGGAGATAAGCAAACCCCGCAGGTACTTTCACCCAGAATGACCAGATGGACCCTGTTTCTGGCCGCTTACTCATTCAAGTTAGTGCATCGTCCCGGTAAGAACTTGAGCCACGACGATGCCCTCAGTTGCTGCCCCCTGCCAGTCCCAGTCGAAGACCCAGCGCCTATCCATGCCATTTTTGAGGTCAACGAACTCAAGCTCCCAGTGACAGCCGAGGACATCACGGCGCACTCAAAGAAGGACAAAATCATCGCCCAGGTTCTGGACTGGGTGGGAAGGGGGTGGCCGGAAACTCAATGTACAACTGATTTTGTCCCCTTTAAAACCCGCCAGCAGGAACTGTCAAAGTTGCAAGGTTGTCTATTGTGGGGAACAAGAGTGGTCATCCCAGCCTCCCTTCGAGTGCCCATCCTGAAGGTGCTTCATGAGGGTCATCCGGGCATCGTAAGAATGAAGGCCCTGGCCCGCAGCTACGTCTGGTGGCCTGGCATGGACGCTCAAATCGCCAACTGGGTAAGCTCTTGCCAGCCTTGCCAACAAACCAGGGCTGCCCCTCCAGCTGCCTCGCCCACCAGATGGGAGAGTGCAAACGCCCCTTGGTCCCGCTTGCACATCGACCTGGCTGGGCCTGTACATGGCAGGACCTTCTTGGTGGTCGTGGATTCATACTCCAAGTGGATTGATGTAGCCTTACTTCCCACAACCACCACCCAGGCGATAGTTAAGGCCCTAACCCGTCTATTTGTCACCCACGGGCTTCCTGACACGCTGGTTTCAGACAATGGCCCACAGTTCACATCGTGTGAATTCAGCATGTACACTGCTAACTTGGGCATCAGACACGTCCTTACAGCACCCTTCCATCCCGCTAGCAACGGGATGGCAGAGAGAGCAGTTAGGTCAGCCAAGGAGGCACTCGCCAGGTTTGGCCAGGAGGATTGGCACTCTAAACTGTCTCGTTTCCTGCTCAGCCAGCACACAACGCCCTGCACCACCACCAACAAATCTCCTGCCGAACTTCTAATGGGGAGACGCCTTAGAACCACCCTGGACAGGCTACACCCCCACTACTGCCCAGACACCCCCTTAGGGTCCGACAGTCTGGTCAGAGACTTCGCCCCACAAGACCTGGTATACGCCAGGAACTACGCGGGGGATCCGTTGTGGGTGCCAGGACAAGTCGTGTCAGTCACAGGTCCCAGGTCCTACAGGATCCTCCTAGAGGATGGACGTTTGTGGCGGAGACACGTAGATCAACTCAGAAGGTAGCGGAAGGGCGCGACAGGTACCAACCCATGCCAACCTGCCAGCGCCAACGACGCCTCACCAGTGCCTGACGTGGATCCCCTGCGGAACCTGGTCTTCCCTGACAAGCGAGAGGACTGGCGGGAGAACACGAGTTTCCGGCCAGAGTCACCACTCCAGCCACCGAGCGACCCAGTTGACCAGCCGGACCTCGAGACTCAGCCGGGCCAACCAGAGCAGGGGTTTTCATCAGCACCACAGGACACTACGCCGGGGCAAACCCACGCCCCGACGACCGCTGAGGCACGTTCCAAAGACCAGGACTTGACACCGGCCGACAGTTCACCCGAACTGCGACATTCTGGTCGCCTGCGAAGACAACCCTCGTATCTACAGGACTACGCATGTCCCCAGCTGGGGGAAAGGGGTGTTATGTCTGTGGAACTGGTTGGGGTCCCCAACCAGGTCCGCTGTTTGAGCGGGAGCACCAGCAGCTCCCATTGGTTGGCTCCGTTTGACAGTCGGCTATATAAGCCGGCTGTCGAGCAGAGCCAGCCATTGTCGCCTGCTGGTCTGCAAGTTAGCAAGCAGACGCGACAACCCTTTATTCTTTGCAATAAAGCCTGTTAGTTGTACGCTCTGGTCTCATGCCTCTTCCTTACCATCGCTCTACAACACTTACTAATCTATTTCTTTTTTTTTAAAGTTTTATTTGGGTTTTCACAAAAACAAAATACAAATAAAACATTTTTTTTTGAAAATAGCATGGTCCCAGGTTATCACTTCTTCATACAGACACCAAACTCAATTTCATGCTAATTTTTATATTCTATTCCATATCTTATTACTGTTTTATATTTTCTACATAGTTTTTCCCCTCTTTTAATTTTCTCAACTTTATTTTAATTATCTCATCTCAATCAAATCATTATATTTATACTTTTATCTGTCCTGTTTCAATTTCATATTATCTTTTCTTATTCAACAGTAGTTACCAATTGGAGTATGACATATATATATATTATATATATATATAATATAATATATTAGTATATATTTTTATAAATCATTACTAATAATTAAAAATGTTCCCATTTAATTCTCTCAATCATTTTAATTCATTTATTTATTACCAAACATTCAACTTCATTACAATAATACAAAAAATACAAAAAATATTTATTACAGTAAATATTTTATCCATCATTTTAATCCTATTTTCTAAAATTATTTCTGTTTTTAATATAACAGTGCTATCTTATGTACCTTTGCAGAATCCCTTTTGCAATTAAATTTTCATCCATTATCTCTAAACAAGCTTATGGTTACAATCCTTATATCTTTTCCCTGTTTCTCCATTTCTTGTTTCTCTCTTTTACAACTTCTTTTCCTTGCCTTCTTCCCCCTCTTCTTCTCCCTCCCCTTTTTACCCCCTTGTCTCTCTACTTCTAACTCTCTCATCTGTAATCCCCTCTTCTGTTGCTTTCTAATATACTTATCTTTCAAATTATTCTTCTTTTTGGTTGTTTTTTCTAGTCTTAAACCTTTCACTCTCTTTCTCCCCTTTTCTTTTCCCCCCACTTAAAATTATTTGATCATTAAAGATGGCTTCTTCTTTGTCCCAATCTTCTTGTTCTGCAAGCGTTTCTTGTTGTTTCTCATAGTTCCAGATCTCCATTTCTAAGAATTGAAATATGAAGCCAAAAGAACCTCTCCCTTCTTGTGCATCTTCTTTCCATGTTTTAAGTTCCATTTTCAGTTCTTCTAAGAGTGATACCATTTTAAAGACTTTTAAACAACCACCTGGTTAATTTTAGTCATCCAGATGCAAAAACCAAAAATCACCAAGTAATCCAAATAATCCAAGGCTGTTCCTTTCTGTTTCTTTTTTTCCACTTTCTCTTCATGGGGTTCTATTATTTTGTTACCAAGTTTCAATTAAGATGTATCTTTGAGGAATCTTGTTGAAATTTCACTGTATGTTTCTTTTAGTTACAATTCCATTCCTTAGTTCCAGGCAGTCTCCTCCATTTTTCCAGATCTTTTCCTTTTATTCTTTTTTTTTCTCCTTTCCTGCTTTTAAAAACTTTTAAATATACAGAAATCTTTATTATCCTTTTGACTTTTATTTTCAGCTTAGGTGCCTATTAATGTCAAAGTGGATTTTTTTCAATTTCTTGCTTAAATCTCATAGCTGTCAGTATAAGGAAGGGAAGAAAAAAAAACCTAATCCTTTCCCTTTTCTCTCTCCTTTGCAGCTTCAAAATCTTATTTGGGAACAATGTTATGAAATTTAAATTCCAGAGTACCTTATTTGACCCCATCAACCAAAACTTTATCTTCTTATCTTCCTCCTGCACATTCTTTTCCAGTCGAGTTCTTCTTTGTGGTGGCCATTTCTGACCACCGCTACAACCGCCTTCGGGAAAGGGAGTAATGGCCAGCTGGGGAGGAGAGATGCGGCTCTCCTCAACCCTGCAGGCAGTTTCCCCCTTCTTCACCACCTCTATGGTGTGGCTTAGCCCCGAAACCAGCTGGCTAAGGTCGCTTCAGTGGTGAGCATGGATCGAAGCCTCTCAGAGATGAGGTTTCAGTCTGTCGCCGAAAAAGCTCAAACCAGAAGTCTACCAGGCTTACTAATCTATTTCTTTGCCATGTCTTTTTATCTAAGCATTGATAAAATAAATCCCATATCATATAAAATTGTTTATCCTCTTCTCTAATTTCAAATGTCAATTTACTCATTTCGGCACAGTCCATGATTTTCTTAATAATTTCCTCCTGCATAGGTATTTTTTTCATTTTTCCAATTCTAGCCACTGTTAAAACATTTATAATCAAATATTTCAATTCTTTACGATATATTTCCGGTATGATTCCCAATAAGAATATCTCAGGTTTAAAGTCTATGTGTTGTTTTATCATTTTTTCCAACCATATGTGGATTATAGTCCAATATCTTTTTGCATCTGAGCATGTCCACCACATATGGTAATATGAACCAGGTATCTGATGACATTTCCAACATTTATCCGATTTATTCTTGAACATCCTCGCAATTCTCATTAGGGATAAGTGCCACCTGTAAAACATCTTATACAAATTTTCTTTTTTTAAAAAAAAAGTTTTATTAATTTTCAAAAAAACAAACAGTACACAAACAAAACATGAGACATAAGAACATAAGACATATTTTCCGACAACCACTTAACAAACAAATAAAACATCTCATTTAAGTACAATATAATTCTAAATTATCACATTTCCACACATAACTTAATAAGCATCTTATATATTCAACTTCATATCTTATTACTGTTTTCCACCTTCTTACTGTTTCTTCCTTTATTTCTATTCAGTTTTATTCATTCATATATTTCATCTTACTATATTTCATATTGTTACTATTTCATATGTTCTTATCCAGTATTACTCCTCAATAAATCAATATAAACTAACAAACACATAACATAAAAAATATAAAACTTCTTTTTAGAAAGCGGCTTAACCCCGGGTTATAGCTTTTGGTACAGACTTGAATTAAATTCATGCTCAGCTTATATACTATTTCATATCCTGTTAAAGATTCTACATTTTACAGATATCTTCTCCCCTCTTTTATTTAATCTTTTTCAATCATCCATTTATCTTTCTCTTGAACACAATCTTGTCCCTGTAATAACTGGTTGAAGTATGACACCTTTCTATTTCCCCCCCAAATTCAACGCTTAAAATTAAACATTATTTCTATTCTGATTCTGCTTAGTACATTCTAAATAACATTTAAAAAAAAAAAAAACGTAATATTCTTATAGATATTAAAAATAGTATTCCCTAAACAAATTAGTTAAATACACATCAATTACACAGTCCCTACAATATTTTATTAACACATATTTCAAATACAAATATAAAATGCAGTCTTGTGTACCTTTGCAGAATCTCTATTAAAACTTTATTTTACCCTTTGTCTCTGAAAAAAAGTTGCTTATAAACAAAACAAACAACATCTTGTTTAAAGTCCTTATAACTTCCCTTTGCTTTGTCTCTTCCTTCCTTATCAATTCTAGCCTTTTTACCCCCCCCTCTCAATTTCCCACTTTTTAATCTCCCCTCTCTGTTGCATTCCTCTTTTCCATTGCTTTCTATCATTATATCAATTTTTCACCTTTCTTTTCCCTTTCTTAATTGTTTTTTTAGAGCTTAAATTCTTGATTTTCTTCTCCTTTTTACCCTTTTTTGAAATCATATGTCCCAGCCTCTTTCTTGTTGCATTTCCTGGTAAGCACAAATCGCCATTTCTAAAAAGCCAAAAATAGATCCAAAAGAGCCATCTTCCTCCTGTCTTAATTTTTCAAACTGCATTTTCAATTCTTCAAAAGACACCATTGTGAACAGAAAAGGATTTATTTTATTTTTTTAAGCAGTCCAAATGTTTTCTTAGTCTTTCAAAAGATAGTTAAAGTCCCAAAGTCATTTGCTCTTCCTGGGGGAGAATTCAATTACAAAATTCCAAGACATTTATAGTATAAATCATTTATCTCTCTTCCTTCCCCCTTAAAGCAAAAAGATTTAAGTTTTAAAGAATCAATATTTGAAAATATAATTTCCCCTTGGCTTCAATTTTGAAAGTTAATACCTTCTATTGCCAATACGGGTGTTTCAGGCTTCCATCTGCTGCCTCCGTGGGAAGGAAAGTGAGAAAAAAGGAAAGGTTTTCCCTTACTCATCCACCGCAGCTTAACGATCCTTTGGAAAGGCAATAAATCACTTGAAAAGCCAAAGTTCCAGGGTATTCAGATGTTAATTGTCCCGGCTCAGCCAAAAGCTTTCTCTGTTTTTTTTTTCCTCCTTCAGCACCCCTCCTGCGCAATCTTATCCCGGATGCCAGCCTCTTCATGGCGGCCATAAGACCGTCGCTACAGCGTCCTGAGAGAAGGAGGTTTAAACTGGGTGCGGGGGGGGGGTCTGCAGCACCCCCATACCCTTCTCCAGATCCTCACTATCTTCGGCTGTCCCTACAA